CGGGGCGCGATCCTGGAGACCCGGGATCGAATCCCGCGTCGGGCTCCCGGTGCGTGGAGCCTGCTTCTCCCTCTGCCTGTGTCTCTGCCTCTCTCTCTCTCTCTCTCTGTGTGACTATCATAAATAAATAAAAAAAAAAATTTAAAAAAAAAAAAAAAAAAAAGGTCAGGGGAAGATCCTTCACGGCTTGGAGAACCGTGGGTGCACAAGCCTAACCCTGTGTTTTGAGGAACAGTCATTCTTTTAAGTCAGCCAGTAACTTTACATAGGGAGCATCCACCTATACCTACAAGTACCTGCCAGGCACTGTTGTAGGCACTGGGGATACAGTAGTGAAAATACAAAATTCAGGAGGTGGGAGAGGCAAACGAGCCCAATTATGACTGAAGCAAAGTAAATTAAGGGAAGAGCAGAACAAGAGGAGGCTGGGGGAACAGTGGGGGCTTGGAGCGGGACCAAGGGAGACTGGAAGAAAGATCATAGAAAATTCTATTCTCAACATGTTAAGTTTTAGGTGACTATTAAGCATCCAGAAAGCCACGTCAAACAGACACTTGAATATACAAGTCTGCATTTCGAAGCTAAAGTGAGCTTGGTAGTTATGTTATCAAAATGAAGATGGTATTTAATGCTCAGGAAAAAGTACATAGGAATGCATGGGAAGAGAGTTTAGATAGGCAAAGAAGGAGGCCAGAACTAAACTAAGAGAACACTATTATTTGAACACTGGGCAGAAGACGATCCTAGGAAGAGTCTGAAAAGTAACCTCTGGCAAGGTATGAGAAAAGCCAGGAGACTAGCTGCATAGTTGCCGGGAGAAAGAGAATGGTCAACAGTGTCCACTGTTGTTGAAAGGTTGAATCAAAAAAGTTACCTTTGGGGTAGCCCTGGTGGCGCAGCAGTTTAGCGCCGCCTGCAGCCCAGGGTGTAATCCTGGTGACCCTGGATCGAGTCCCACGTAGGGCTCTCTGCATGGAGCCTGCTTCTCCCTCTGCCTGTGTCTCTGCCCCTCTCTCTCTCTCTCTCTGAATAAATAAATAAAATATTTTTTTAAAAAAGTTACCTTTGGATTTTGCAATGTAAAGCTCATTAATTACCTTAAGAGAATTGCTGTTATTTGAAATCACATGATTTGCCAAGTATAGTTATAGACAGTGATGAACAAAACATTAAAGGTCAACCAACTTACAATCTGGTAGGAGAGAGAGTCAACAGATAATATAGTTCAGTTAAATAATAAGCACATTGAAGAACAAACCAGAGTAACACACACACACACACACACACACACAGAAAATAAACTGGTGCTTACCAGAGGGGAGGTGACTGGAAGGATGGGTGAAATAAAGGGGATTAAGAGGTTTCCAGTTATAAAATAACTGGAAACAGTCACAGAGATGAAAGTACAGCATGGGGATTATAGTCAGTAATATTGTAATAATGTTGTTTGGTGGCAAATAGTCACTACACTTATCAATGTGAGCACTGACTTATGTGTAGAATTGTTGAATCAATATGTTGTATGTCTGAAACTAGTATGTTAATTATACTTTAATTTTTAAAGATTTTATTGATTTATTTATGAAATAGTGTGTGAGGGACAGGGGGAAAAGCAGAAACAGAGGGACAGGAAGACTCCATGCTGAGCTTGGAGCCCCAGGCAGGGCTCTACCCCACTACCCTGAGATCATGGCCTGAGCTGAAACCAAGAGTCAGTCACTTAACTGACTGAGCTACCCAGATGCCCCATACTTCAATTTTTAAAGAAGAAGAAAACATCATAAAATGAAGTGCTATAATAAATGGGATGTCCAGAAAGGGTACTAAGAAACTACCATTTGACCTGAGACCTACATAATAAGAGTCAGCTTCTTAAATCATCTCTGTGACACATCAATAGGAATATGTGAACCTGATTTGGGTCCTGATTCAAAGAAACTAGAAAATAAATCACATTTATGAGACAATTGGAAATTCTAACACTGACTAGATATATGATTTTAAAGAACTGTTTTTTAGGTTTCATAAATGTACTATGGTTATGTTATTTAATGGTTCTTTTAGAAACATACTAAAATATTAGATATGGAATTATTTCTGGAATTTCCTTCAAAATAATTTTGAGGAAAATAATATGGGAGGTAGGGGAAGAGGATGGGAAGTATAAGACAATATAACATTGAACATGTGTTAAGCTTTGAAGGTAGTTGATGGTACCTGGGAATTAATTATACCATTCTGACTCCTTTTTATATATTTAATTTTTCCAGAACTTTTCAAAACTAAGACTAAAAGCTTCCCTGAAGTTTCTCTGACTTGATCTGTAAGAATTAATAATTCCCAGTACACAAAGTTGTGGAAAGGATGAAATCGGATGTTTAAAGCACAGGCACATACCAGTTTCACAACAAACAACAGTTCTGTTCCTCTCACCCCCATCCCCATCTTGTGAGTTAACTTTGGAGGATAAGAAGCTATCTGAGTAACTTTTGAAACTATGTAAGGTAACACTGATTAACTATTTTGTAAGAACACTTAGGGAACGTTTAAAGGATGTAACATTAACTAACGTTAAGGATTCGCCTTAACATTGATGGGATGAGTAACTGGGTATTATCCTGTACGTTGGCAAATTGACTTTATTTATTTATTTTTAAAAGATTTTATTTATTTATTCATGAGAGACAGAGAGAGAGAGAGAGAGAGAGAGAGAGGCAGAGACACAGGCAGAGGGAGAAGCAAGCTCCATGCAGGGTGCTTGATAAAATTTTAGATTCCTGGGCTCTGCCCACAAAAGTTCTGATTCAGAACTTCTGGGTCTGGAGTGGGTCTCAGGAATTTGCCTTTTTAGGAAACATTCCAAAGAGTTCTGTCTTAGGTAGTTTTTGAGATACATTTGGAAACTGTTTTTCAAGTCTCAAGTGCCTCTAGATATAATCTGTAGACCAATATTAGTCCTTAGGGTAGTGAGGGTTTTCTTGCTAGTAACACTGTGCTTCTCATAGAAAAGTCAAAGGAACATATTCTCATAAGATTCTTGAACATGGAAGCAAAAGAACATAGACCCTTCTAATCTGAAGAACAATCCCAGTTGCCTGTTACTGTCATCTAGGATGAGTATCTGCAATGCCCAACCCAACTGTCACAAGAGGAAACTAGCACTTAACTCAGCTACTGGGACTTGTGGAAACCCCAAAAGGCTTCCTCAAATGTGATCTTTCTCCCTACGAGCCAAGCTATAAGTCTGAGATAAGAACCCATCACTCTCACCACCACCAATACCATCACTGCTGATGAGGTATCTCTGTTATGTTCCCTCAATCATCCTGCTTTCAAGGATGAATACTGTGGAACAAAACGAGAAAGGTACTAGTGGTGACTATTTGGGATGAAAGCATTTACTTCTCCAAGAATTTCACCTCCTTTCAAGATGGTTGGGGAGAAGGATGCATATACCTGCTTCAGTTTGGAGAAGAGCTGGTGGTTCACAGACTGTCTCAAGTGGCAACATTTCTACAGCATATGTTCAAGTGTGCCTTGTGTTTTTGCTACTACAATCCTTAAATGGAAACTCTTCATGATTCAGAAGGCTCCAGAATTTTTTGCACTAACTTGAAAAGGAAAAAAAAAATTCTACTCCTCCACAAAATATCGATAGATTCATTGGGGGCATTAAGCCTCAAGAGATCTGTTTTTTTAAAAAAATTATGATTCACCCCTGAAGGTAGTGGAAAGCAGCAGGGTAGGATCATGCCTTTGGGGGGAGCCCTGGGTGGCTCAGCGGTTTAGCACCTGCCTTCAGCCCAGGGCCTGATCCAGGAGTCCCAGGATGGAGTCCTGCGTCAGGCTCCCTGCATGGAGCCTGCTTCTCCCTCTGCCTGTGTGTCTCTCTCTCTCTGTGTATCTCTCATGAATAAATAAATAAAATCTTAAAAAAAAAAAAACTTTAGTTCCCAGTACCTCTCATTTTAAAACGTTTTGGAAATCTCTCTTCTAACCATTCACTCAACCAAGTTTTACATGGCAGTTTATCTTAGCCTGGTGACTGAAAAGATTGAAAAATTCAAATCTCACGTCAAAATTAGGAAAATCCTAATATAGGACTCTGTTGTCCTACCCTATAAGCCAGAACAATCCCACTAGCCTCTCCTCTCGCCAACAGACCGAACTCCTGGGGCCCAGTTTGCCTCCCAGCTCAGCATCCCACCTGTGCCCCTCAACACACTCTCTTCCCCATAACGGTTTCCCCCTTATGTCTTCTAGTTACACCCCTGTTCATCCCTCCGTTGTCCCTCCCTCGGGAAAATCTGATTTAAATCAAAGGTTTTCAGAGAACTATCTACCCATCTCCCTAGCAATTATCATTGTACAATTTTAGATTTTGTGTGCGTGTGCAAGCTCCTTCAGGGCAGAAGCTGCACCCAGGTTTTTTTTTTTTTTTTTTTTTTTTTTAATGATAGACATAGAGAGAGAGGCAGAGACACAGGCAGAGGGAGAAGCAGGCTCCATGCAGGGAGCCCGACGTGGGATTCGATCCCGGGTCTCCAGGATCGCGCCCTGGGCCAAAGGCAGGCGCCAAACCGCTGCGCCACCCAGGGATCCCCTGCACCCAGTTTTGTGCACTTCGGTACCTCGCCCCGTTCCCCAAACAATGAACGTTGAATACATTTGCAGGGTGACTTCAGTAAATGTGTTTGTGCCTCTGCTTTCTCCCCCCGCCCCCCGGCTTTGCTGCTACTCAAAACGAAAAACAGCGATGTTGGGATTCGTGTTCAGATCCGTATTTGTCTCCTCTCCATCTACGGAGGTGGGAAGCTGGGAACCGACGCGAGGCGACGCCGCCAAGCCGGCGAGGGCTGCGGGCCGCGCGGCCGCACGGCGGGCCACGGAGGGCTCGGCCCCACCGCCCCCGTCCCGGCGCGCCCCCCGCGCCCCCGCGCCCCCGCGCCCCCGCGCCCCCGCGCGAGCGCGAGTCGCCGGCGGAAGTGCTGCGTCGCGCACTTCCGGGTGTTGTCTGGCCGCCGCCGCCGCCGCGCGTCTCCGGTCTCCCGGCCGCCGCCGCCGCCGCCGCCTCGCGTCCTGGAGCCAGGAGCGACGTCACCGCCATGGCCGGCATCAAAGGTGGGCCTGGGGCGCAGGGCGCGGGAGGGCGGGCTTGGCCGCCCGGGAGAGGGAGCGGGGGTCCGTCGCGGGTCCCCGCACGCCGCCGCCTCGGCCCGGGCGCGCGCGACGCGGGAGGTCCCTGCGCTGGCGGCCGCCGCCCGCCCCGCGACCCCCGCCTCCGCCCTCGCAGCCCGCGAGCCGAGCTGGGCGCGGCGCCCCCTCCGCCCCCCCTCCCCCGTCCCCCGGAAGGCCGGCGCGGTGGGCGGCTTCTGCGTCGGCCCCCGCTCGCTGCTCGTCTCGGAAGCCTCCCTCCCAGCGCGCGCCGGCCCCGGTACGGAGAACCGAGGGGTCCTGGGCGTGCGGGAGCCCGGCAGCGCCTCGGGCCGTCGCTCGCGTTTTGCAGGAGTTTGCATCCGAGTGGCGAGCGGGGACTGGTTTTGCGGGGCTTGAGGCCCCAGGGGATGCCAGTTACGGGAAATCAGGGGTCCTCTCCCACTCGGCTTGGGGTGCCGAGCCGAGTCCCTCCGGAGCGCCCTGGAAGGACTTAGGGACGGTCCTTTCCTGGACCTTGGCCGCCACATCCCCCTCTTGGGACCTGCGCTCCCCGCTTTCACAGGCTTCCGAAACTGATGCGTGTTGACTTGAGGGGTCCGTCCGAGCAGGTTAGAGCCTGTAAGGGACCCCGAGGTGCTCCTGTTCTGCGCCGCTGCACGCTGACGCTCTGTAGCTGGGCTCGTTGAAGGACTAAAATCGTGTTACAGCTTAATGGGAAATTGCTCGCTTATTCACATATTTTCTTTAGGAATTACGGCAGCTTGCACTCTTTCGTATTACTTGGTAGTTTTTGTTGATGGGATTAGAAGGAAATACCGTTGACAGCCTTTTCAACTCTTTGACCGCGAATTGCATTGATTTCCTGACCTGACGGCTTGGTACAAGGGGCAGGGAAGCAGGAGAACTCTGATAGTAGTTTTGGGTTTTTTTGGTTTGTTTTTTTTTTTTTTTGTGTGTGTGTGTGTGTGTGTGTGTGTGTGTGTGTGTGTTTCTGTGTAACTTCTTTCCTTCAGGACAACTTTTATTGAGCAGCTTTGCCAGAGTCACATTTTTGCTGTATCTGGTTTATAATTTAATGTCTGAAAACATTTCATTTCCGATGTAAAGCTTTGACATTAGATAAGCAACAAAGATCATTTTCAACTTTTTTTTTTTTTGGACTGTGATAGACCTCTTTAAATCCCTGTATGGAAAGGTAGTTTGGGTAGAATGCTGTGGTTTTTAAGAATGTTGCCAGTTTCCCGATTCTTCCCCATTTCTTCAGTGTCATCAACGGAAGTCTCCCTCTGAAGAAAATAGCTTTGTAGTTTCCTTTTCCAAATTTAGGAAAATATTAACCAGGCGGAAGTATCTCAGATGGAATTGTGCTAATAAACTTTCGGTTTCCCGAAGATTTTTCTAATTGTTATGACTTTTATCGGGACATTTTCTTTCGTTGGCCTGTCTTTGTATTAGGCAGGAGTGCTGCTGTAATTGGAGACCATCATTTATTTCTTAAGCCATTTGCTAATATTTGGTCATATGTTAGATTTTTCTGGGAACTCCCAGGTTAGGGAACTGGCCCCTGCTAGGCTAATTTCTTTGTAGTCACAGAATCAGCACCCTGTCTCTGGAGAGTTTAGATAATTGGGCTGTTCCATCCCTAGCCTAGAGGCTTTGGGAGTAGAAACCAGACTCAGATATCTAAGTTTTGCCCTCCAAATGTTTCATCACTCAGTTACAGTATAAATTCTTGCCTTGTTGATGTGTCATATGGGACAACCATTTATACACAAATGATGAAATTTGTGTATAAACCAGCCTAGTTGCTGATTTCATAAGACTGGAGAAACTTTGTAAGTTTCGAGAACACTTTAGAGTGATATGTTTAACCCCATTGATTTTTATCATATCCAGTGTGACTGGGAGGTGGGATGTCACAGAAAGCTATTTTTTAATACTTAAATCTTACCTTGTTTTCATTTTTAATTTTTTAAGAGATCATCTTTTATTGACTTTTTAAGAGTGTACTCAAAGAATTTAGACTTTCTTTTTTGGTAAGAACATGATTGTTCTCTGTCATAGAAGAGTTACCCTCAGACAACATCGAGCCCTAAAGCTATTGCCTTTTGGCCAAGATTACCACAAACCAGTATGCTTTTTGAGATTTTTCTGCCTGATTCAAGAATTTTTTTCAGTTACCATTCTCTTCTGAGAGGGCAGATCTTGCTTATGTGCAGTTCTACCTCCTATTTGTCATTTGTTTATGGGAAACAAGATCTTTAAACTTAGAAAATTTTATGTTACGAGTTACAGGTAACAATGATCATTTCTGGGTAGAGAAAGTACTCAATTTTGTTCTGGCTACATGAATTGCTATTGAAAAAAATATGTATAAATGAACATAGGTAACTATTTTTTTTTTATTCTGCTGAAATTCTCACACAACAGTTGTACTACAAAAATGAATAAATAATGACTGAATAAGAGCCTAAGGGTCTGTTTATAAAGAATGGTGGCTTTAGTGTATGGGCTTTGTGACATCTGTCGTGCTCTGTAGTGACCCTTGTTTCTTCCAGGATTCTAAACTATATTCTGGATAAATGGCTTCTGAATAAATAAATTGTTATTATATAGTATTTATAGGGGTGAATTTAGCTGTTTGGCAACTACATTCAAAAAGTGAAGATGGTTCCCTGAAACTAATATAACACTGTATGTTAGTTATACGGAAATAAAAATTTTTTTTAATTTTTATTTATTTATGATAGTCACATAGAATGAGAGAGAGAGAGAGGCAGAGACACAGGCAGAGGGAGAAGCAGGCTCCATGCACCGGGCGCCCGACGTGGGATTCGATCCCGCGTCTCCAGGATCGCGCCCTGGGCCAAAGGCAGGCGCCAAACTGCTGCGCCACCCAGGGATCCCCATAAAAAAAATTTTTAAGCGAAGATGACATTTTACTTCTTCAGCATGTCTTGTTACAAGTATCTTTAGTGTTCAGAGAATTATTTGCATATTAGTTCTAGTCCAAGTCTCATTTTTTTTTTAAAGAGTAAATGGATTTTTTTAAATTTATTTATGATAGTCACACGCACACACAGAGAGAGAGAGAGGCAGAGACACAGGCAGAGGGAGAAGCAGGCTCCATGCACCCAGAGCCCGACGTGGGATTCGATCCCGGGTCTCCAGGATCGCGCCCTGGGCCAAAGGCAGGCGCCAAACCGCTGCGCCACCCAGGGATCCCCAAGTCTCATTTTTTAAAAAGATTTTATTTGTTTATTTGAGAGCAAGAGAGCACAAGCAGGAGAGAGGCAGAGGGAGAGGGAGAAGCAGACTCCCCACTGACCAGGGAGCCCGATGCAGGGTTCCATCCCAGAGTCCTGGGATCATGACCTGAGCCCAAGGCAGACACTTAACTGACTGAGCCACCCAGGCACCCCCAAGTCTCATTTTATAGAAGAAAGAGCTGACACTCAGCTACGATTATGTAGACAGCTAGTTAAGTGGCTAGTAGGGACTAGGGACCCATTGTCTCCTGACTTTCATTTATGTGCTGTTTTTACCCTGCTACTTTGGAATGATCTTCCTATCCTCTTCCCTTCTGTTCCTTTCTCTCTTTTTTCCCCTTGGGTTTTTTACTCATTCTAAAATATTTATTATGCAGTGTTAAGAGCTGGGGTGTGAGCATGAACAGAAAAACTTTTTCCCTGCTGTGGTGGACCAAACAGATTATAAGGAAAAACAGATACAGGAGTGCCTGGATGGCTTAGTTAAGCGTCTGACTCTTGATTTTGGCTCAGGTCACGATCTCAGAGTCATGGAATCGAGCCCCACATCGTGCTTTGAGTTCAGCACGGAGTCTGCTTGTCCCTTTCCCTATGCTCCTTACCCCACTTGCACGTACACTCTTTGTCTTCCAATCTCTCTCTCTCTCTAAAATAAATTAAATCTGTATTTAAAAAAGGAAAAACAGATATAAGTCATTATAAAATTACAGCTATCGTAACTGAGCAAAGAGAATGTATACAGTGCAAGAAGGGCCTCTGCACATGCATAATCCTCTGCCTGGGATACTCCCCTGCAGATATCCACGTGATTTGCTCCCTCATTTCATATAAATCTCTGTTCAGATGTCACCTCATCAGAGATGTCTTCCGAGGCCGCTCTGTCTGAAATACCACTCCCATCATCGTACCTTACTTGATTTCTTTCATAGCACTTAACATTAATTTTCTAACTTTATTTTTATGATTTTGTTCCCTGCTAGAGTATAAGCTTCGTGAGAGCAAGAGCTTTAATTTTTTTTCATTGCCTTATCAAGAACAGTGTGTGAAAACGTATTAGGTGCTCAGTAGATATTTGTTGAATAATGAATGAATATATCTAATGGGGGAATTGGTCTAGCAGGAGATTTGAAAAAACTTCAGTGAGGAAGAAATGATTGAGCTGACATCTGAAGGACATAGAGGAATTCTCTTGGAAGAAAGAGGAAGGGAATGGAAGAATAATGCAAGCTCCCTGCATGTGGAAGGACCTTGTCTGGTTTCTTAACATATCTCCAGCACTTGTTATGTATTTGGCTCTCAGTAAATATTTCTTGAATGAAATGAATGAATGAAAAAGTTTCCGAGATAGAAGGGACATGTATAAGGGCCATGTGGGTGAGGAGCCTGCTAATTTCCAGGAGAGGAAAGGCCAGTGTAACCAAAGTGCAGAGAGCAAGGCATAGTAATATAGGCTGGTGTTAGGAGAGTGAGCAGGGTCACATTTTGAGGGCCTATGAACAAAACAAGTGGTAAACTCAGTATTTTTCTCACAGTTTACATTGCATTTCATTGTAAACTTGAAGTTATTTGCTGTAAAATAAAAATGCAACTCTTTTTCTTTCTTTTTTCTGTAACTGAAAATATAATGGCACTAAGGACTAGGGAAATGTGTTGAGAGTTGACATGATCTACACCGGTGATCTAAATGAAAACCAAATCTATCTTACCATACCATGTGAGTGGGTGTCTGTAATTATAACCATTTTAATCCAGAGAAATCTGTCAGTAGTACTGGGCAGGATTTAACCCCTTTACTGTTAGTTTTGGTTTGTATATGTTAGCTTTTCTTTTGGTAACTTTTAGACCTTCTGCAACTGTTTTGAAAAATAAGATTTCTGTTGAGGTTAATGTACTGCCTCAGTTAAAACAAAAAACACCTAAGTTATTCTCTTAGCCAATGCAGTTACAGAAAAATACAAGTTATATAGAACTCTAAATAAATAAATTGATCATTTGTATCTTTGCTTAATTCTAGGCCATCAATTAACTATGTCTATTGAAGAAAGTTTTTTCTACTCACTAATAATATGTGAAAACATTTTATAAAATATGTTTTGTGTGTGTATAACTTTAGAAACTATGTTTTATCTGTAGAATGCATCTATTGCTTGTGTTAATATCTTAAAATAGTGATACAAAAAGAAGGATTTATACCCATTATCTTGTGCATTTTCCAATGTGTAGAAGGTTAGGAGAGGAAACCCAACTATAGTTTTGTAAGCTATTTAAAGGTCTATATCAAAATTAGTTGATTAAAATTATTAACTCCAGATATCCTTAGACACTTTTTTCTTACTAGTTTTGAGCACATTGGGTGTATATGCAAGAAGCAGGAACTGATCATGAGAGACTTTCCCAAAAAATAAAGTTCTAAAGTCCAGTAAAGCTGAGAATGCAGTTTCTGAACATCCTGCTTTTCAAACTGTAATGATCTGTGGAGTAAATATAACACTAATTACTGGAGGAACATCGATCTGGCAGGCTAAGATACTTATTAGAAATAGAGCCAGTAATGAGGAAATGTGGTAGTGTGTTCATGATGGGTCAGGACTCTGAAAATCAGTGTTGCTTTATTTTGCTTTGAAGATGACACAAAAAACTTATTCAGAGACTATAGATAACTTAGAGTATAATTGAAGATAACTTACTTTTAATGCATTTGTTTTTTGTATTGTGTTCTGTTTTGCCTTTTGCTTCTGGGATCCTAGGTAATGTTCAGACTGCTAACACTGATATTAAAAATAATGTTAAGTTTAATTAATGTTTGTATTTGACTCTATTTACTTTGCAGCTTTGATTAGTTTGTCCTTTGGAGGAGCAATTGGGCTGATGTTTTTGATGCTTGGATGTGCCCTTCCAATATACAAGTATGTAAAATTTTTGTGTTTTTGAGTGTTTGAGGGTAAAATTTTTCTACTTTTAAAACTTTAAGAATGTTTTGAATGAAAGCTTCTACTATAGAAGTAATCCTGAGAAATGTTCATTGACCAAGGACAAACCTTTTTAAAAGTGCAAAAAATGCTTTGGCTATTGCACTACTGTTCAGTTTTAAGTGCCTATTGATAAAATTAAACATGAGAAGGTTTAAAAATGTCTTTTCAGCAAAAAATACCAGAAGCAGAATTAAGAGACAGTTGACTCAGAAAAAGTTATGTAAGCTATTACTTTCCAAAGGATAGAAAGAACTTTTAAAAATTAATAGGATAGAGACGCCTGGGTGGCTCAGCGGTTGAACGTCTGCCTTTGGCTCCGTGTGATCCTGGAGTCCTGAAGTCCTAGGATTGAGCCCCGCATCGGGCTCTCTGCATGGAGCCTGCTTCTCTGCCCTCTTCCTATGTTTCTGCCTCTCTTTCTGTGTCTCTCATGAATAAAGAAATAAAATCTTTTTTTAAAAAAGGATAGATAAGTGAGAAAAATACAGACAACTAAATAGAAAAATGCACAAGTATGAAAAAAGAACTGCACATTTACTAATAATAAGCACATGAAGTTATACTCAGCCTCTTTCAAAATTAAATGAAATCCTTTGGCAGAGATAAAAGCTATGGGCAGACAGGCACCGCCGTGTGCGGTGGGGTGAAGGAATAGCTATGTGCAGTCATCTTGGAGGCCAGTTTGCTTATAGCTCTCAAAATGTGTATATTCCTTGAACTAGTCATTCCACTTAGAATTTCTCATGCAAATCTCCTGGCAGATGTTTGCAAAGACATGTATATGAGGGGGGATTCTCGGTATACATTGCAGCCCTGTTAATAACAAAAGCCCTGGAGGCATCCTAAAGACCTGTCAAAGGAGAAATGGTTTAAACTATGGTATGTCCATCCATCCATGAAAATCGTAGGCACTCTTAAAAAGAATGAGGAAGAGCTGTAAATCCTAACAGGTAAAGGTTCTCAAGATACATTGTTAAATGGAAAAATGCAGTGATTCATGTTGCTAAAATTTATCTGTATGGAAATATGGAAGGACCCATAAGAAGGTCATTAGGAGAGTGGGAGGAGAAAGGAGGGGAGATGTGGGCAGCTTGGTGTTTCCACTTTTGTGCTTTTGTTTTCTTTTTAATTTTTTATGTTGAAATGATTACATACTATCAAGAAGTTGCAAAGATCACTTCTCTGCCTTTTGGCTAAGATCAAGTGAAGAAGTTGCAAAGATAGTACAGAGAGGTCCCCTGTCCCTTCACACAAGCTTTCCCCAGTGGCCCTGTCTTACATAACCTTACTTGTATTATCCAACCCGGAAATGACATTGGCACAATACAATAGCTAGATTGCACATTAAAAGCCACCTATTTTCTATATTCTGGCTGAAAGTTTTCAACATTACTTTCAGTTCATTTTCTACATTTTGATTTTAGTGTTTTGGGAGTTCACAGTGACCGAAGCAGAGTTTGGGGGTGTTCCAGCTTTAAGCCAAGAAGACTGTCATTCATTAAAAGTTAAGGGCATGAATTTTGCCTTTTAAAAATTACTGTGCTAATATTTCTATTTTCCATATGCTTCTTTATGTATAACTTAAATAATATTTTTGAATTTTGGGCCTTGATTCCAACTGTTTTAGTTTATAAAGCATTTTCTTCTAATATAAGAAATTTTTAATCGCTGTGTCACAACTGGCTTTAGAAATACCATGACTCTAAATGTTTTTCTTTTCAGTGTTCAGGTTATTATTTATTTTTAATCTATATCATGTTTTGTACCTTGCAACATTTCTTTGGTCCTTATTTTTAAAAAGCATGTATTATGTGTAGAAAAATGACATAGATAGCAAAAACTACATTAACTTATTTTTTTTTTCCTAGCCAATACTGGCCTCTCTTTGTTCTGTTTTTTTACATCCTTTCACCTATTCCATACTGCATAGCGAGAAGATTAGTGGATGACACAGATGCTATGAGTAACGCTTGTAAGGAACTTGCCATATTTCTTACAACAGGCATTGTTGTCTCAGCTTTTGGGCTCCCTATTGTGTTTGCCAGAGCACATCTGGTAAGTAAATATATTTTTCTGTTAACGATTTTACATTAGACTGTGTGTTAAAATTACCTCAGGAAAAAAGATTTTGATAAATGACATGAAAAAGAGATGAGAGACATAAGATCCTAGAGGATAGAGATAATCTTTTGTTGTCATTAACTGATAAAAATGATATTGGAGAGCATGGCTGGGGTCTGCATCAACAGTTGGCTCACCAGTACTTCACTCCCAGAACTGGGCACATCAGCTCACCCAGTGCTTCCCAACCACAAGCCACCCCCTCTGTAACTGTTGAAAGGCCTAAGGGGACATTATGTGTTCTCTGCAAATGGGAAAGTATGAAAGAGGGGAAGGGGTGCTGGGCTCCAGGCTCCATATGCTTGTCTCCCTCCCAGACTCGACAATCAGATTCACTCCTCCATCTCTGAGGAGGTAGAAAAGCCAGGGCCTGGCCACCCTTCCAAATGGTGAGGCAGGTAATCCCCTTTGCCCCTTTAAAAGAATGTACATGAATGTGTTTTCGTCTCTGGTACTTTAATCTGCTCTCTAGATAAAATTTTAGATTTACTGAAGAAGAGTTGGGAGCAGATTTCTTTACAAACCAAAAGTTGTAGATGTCTGTGCTCTTCAGAGTCCAGAAGTCGAGCTGTTGAGTAATTATCATCTTCGTGACTTTGTCTTTTTAAAAGAAGTAAATTAAAAACAGCAATATAGAAAAGACCATTACGTCTTCAGTAGAGTGAAAGTTATTATTACAAATTGTATCTGTTTTAGATCATGATTGGCTTTCAACTAGAGTCTTGATTTACTTTTCATTCTCTTTTGTTTTTCATGTGTCTATTAACTGTTTATCTGGCTTCTTTCCCTAGATTGAGTGGGGAGCTTGTGCACTTGTTCTCACAGGAAACACAGTCATCTTTGCAACTATACTGGGCTTTTTCTTGGTCTTTGGAAGCAATGATGACTTCAGCTGGCAGCAGTGGTGAAAGGAATTACTGAACTATTGTCAGATGGACTTCTTGTCATTTGTTGGCCATCCACGCACACAGAAGATGGGGCAGGAATGCTGAGTGGTACAGCAAGCCTCTTGGGGGTATTCTAGGTGCTCCCTTCTCACTTTTATTGTAAGCATACTATTTTCACAGAGACTTGCTGAAGGATTAAAAGGATTTTCTCTTTTGGAAAAGCTTGACTGATTTCACACTTATCTCTAGTATGCTTTTTGTGGTGTCCTGCTGAATTTAAATATTTATGTATCCCTGTTTAGTTTTTTTTTTTTAATCAGTATGCAATGTTAAGCCTTTTTAAAATGTAATAACCATTTGCATTGGTTAGGAATTAGATTTCTGCTGGCTATTACTGGGCTAAAGGATATCTTTTGTCTTAAAATTATTTAACCTCCATTGCAAAAAGTTAAAAGTTTTCAATCAGTCAGGATGACATCACTCCCAATTTTATGCAAACATGCAGACTGTTGGTATACCTTATAGACTGTATACTCAGTGCAAATATAGCTGCATTTATACCTCAGAGGGGCCAAGTATTAATGCCCGTGCCCTCCATAAGGGTTGCTGGTTTTGCCAGTGAGCAGGTGTTTTATGAATTGAAAATTATCTTATGGAATTGCTACAAAGGAGTGCTTTTCTTCTCAGTCGTTAGAAGAATTTATTGTTAAAGGTAAGCGTGTAAAACCAGATTTCTGAGATGGTTTTTATTTATGTTTATTATAGTTAAAGTAGAGTGAGTTGCATTGTGGGAAGAAACGACGTTGAAATTCCATTTTTTTGAATCCTCTATTTATAAGTGAAATGTTTGATCCTCTATCAGCCTTTCATATTTTACCATGGATGAAATGGACTTACGTGGAACTACTACTGATAAGGGAAAGTTGTATGTTTGCGTCACCTAGACCAGAAAACCTTTCCCTGCTTCCTCCTTTTAACTTATTTTATACATTGTATATATTAAGTAAAATAACTTTTCAAATATAGTTTAATAACACTTAAATTAGAGGTGTTTATCTCACCTGGAAAGTAATTGCTATGCCATACATGCCGAGTGCCCCCTGCCCCGCAAGGCCTCGACATGATTAACAAGTGACTTTGTTAGTCTTGCAGAGAAGTGACGCATTAACAATTTAAGATTTAGACCATGGTAATTGTAGTTCTTATTCTCTAAGGTTATATCATATGTAATTTAAAAATATTTAAGACAAGTTTCCTGTATACCTCTCAACTTCTTTGATTTTTATTTCATCATGATAGATATGCTCTTTCCTTTTAAATGACATTTATTGTGTGAATTAATGCAAAGTAGCCAAATCCAGCTGTCTAGCAGCTTCAAACACAGACCTGACCAAAAAATTCCCAGTAACCAGGCATGATCAAATCATAGTGGTCATTTGCATCTCAACAATTATCAGTACCTTTTTCTAGAGCTAGTTATGAAAATGTTCAAGTTGGTTCAACAGTATGTTGTTGAGGATATTTGTGTGTTTATTCAGTATACTTACATAAAAACTATTTTGCCTTCAGACAAAACTGAGTGATCATGACAGCTACCTTTTGTTGTTTTATGAAGTTTATTTCTCAAGAAAAGGGGAACAAATTTTGGGTTTACTAAAGATGCTTGAAGGCCACAGGTTTTATTGCCAAAACCCAAGTTGTGACTTTCGCTGTGAGATGGGAAGCAGAATGAAGGATTTGCATGTGGCTGTCCCACTTAGTAGGCTAGAAACAACTTGCAGTGTTACAATTATATAAATCTAAAGAGGAAGGTACAGGTACACAGGAAGTAGCTGGCCATACAGTTGGGAATTCAGTGCCTGTGATCTACTTGATTTTTTTTTTCAGGAAGTACATATTCTGGCCCTTCCCCATTATCTGTTCTAGAATATCAGTGCAGTGCACTGCTACTGTTTTATTCACTTGGCCATAGACTCTTTTTCTAACAGCTGCATATTCTTTCTGTATACAGATTGCATTGGCAGCATTGTGTCTTTCATCTTGCACACTAGCTCGACATAGTGCTGTCTCTGATTTCTAGGCTAGTTTGAGGTATGAGTTTTCCATAGAATGTGCACTGATACTGCATTGCCATTCTTCTATGGAAAGAAAACTTTTGATGATGAAACAATAAAGATTTTAAATATCTATTTTAGTTTGTGGGTGTTTTTGAAGTGAAAATATACTGTGCACTTCAGCTCTTTAAGTGCATTATTCATTTTAATAACGATGTAAAGCAAGTATGACATTAGTCATTAATGTTAGACTTGAAAGAGTTTCACTTGCAAAATAGAATTGAAACCATAGTAATGTTATGGTGAAGCCCTATGATTTTGTGCTATGATGAAAGGATTGGTAAACTGGGGAAGTAGAATTTTTACCTAACCCTTTACAAAAAAGCCATAAATGATTTTGTTGATATAAAAAGACTGTTGATAATCTAAAGTCAAGGTTGTACCTATTCTTAAATTTTCAGATCTTTTTTATGACTGTATGTTTTATTGTGTATTTATCGCCATTTATTATGAGAGCATTTTGCAAACATTTCAAATAGTTAAAGGTAAAAAATCAGTGTGGTATAGTGTGAACAGAAAAAAGTACTGTTCTCTTTTGTCAAACATGAATCTTGTCCCAGACTGTCCTAATTATATAATCTCATTATATACTTTAAAAAGTTTAGGTCACAGGTTCTTAGTGTTTGCTCTAATATGATTTTTTGGGGGGTAATGTCAAAATAATCCAGATTTCTAGAGTAAACTCTGGAATATTTATACTGAATGTGACGAGATTCATAAGTTTCAGGTAACTAAATCAGCACATCAAATTTAACAAGCAGTCATGCAGCATTACTGTTAAGTGATATGTACATTTTACATCTCAGGATGTTTTATGGTTTATAAAATTGGTGGAAAATTCAAAATCATGTTTCTTCCATATAAAGCCTATGTTATCCTTTCTCTTGGTGAAGATTAGGGAGCTCTTATTTTATTACAGGCCTCCTAATTTTCTGGCATTCCCAGAGAAGAGAACATATCCTGTAAAATAAATATTCCAGATAACTGAAGTTTATCTCAAAAAGAACTGACATTTGTTTTATTTATTTTGGTCAAAGTATTAAATGAGTCATATACTTTTGTACTTTCTAAGAATATATTAAGACATTTTGGGTTTTTCTTGGTAATTTAGGATTATCATAAATTATTTCTCCCTCTTTTAAAAGGCCCCAGACCTGTATCTTTCTGGAATTGTGTTTTTGCTGGCTTTTCTTAGAACTCAGTTTGTTCCTAGCATGCCTTAACTACTTTTGTTTCTAATTTTCTTTTTCTTTTTTTTTAAATTTTATTTATTTTAAGATTTATTCATTCATGAGAGGCACAGAGAGAGAGAGAGAGGCAGAGACACAGGCAGAGGGAGAAGCAGGCTCCATGCAGGGAGCCCGATGTGGGACTCGATCCCGGGTCTCCAGGATCACGTCCTGGGCCAAAGGCAGGTGCCAAACTGCTGAGCCACCCAGGGATCCCCTGTTTCTAATTTTCTAAACTATAGTAGGGGGCATCTGGGTAGCTCAGTTGGTTAGGTATCTGTCTCCTGGTTTGGCTCAAGTCATGATCTCTGGGTGCCTGGACTGAGCCCCACGTTGGGCTCTGTGGTAGGCAGGGAGTCTGCTGGGGGTTCTCTCTCCCTTTCCTGTCTCCTCTGCCCCTCCCTCCACTCACGTGTGCAGGCACTTTTCTCTCTCTCTCTCTCAAATGGGTGGATAAATCTTTAAAAATAAATAAATAAACTATAGTACATTGGGAGGAATGGAAAGTTGCCAGGGGAAAAAATAGGTAACCAAGCAGACTGAATCAATTATGTTATATTTCTATTCACAATACCTCAGTGGACCTAACTAGGTGCTCCCACCTCTTATACAAATGAAATACATGCTTTGTGATGAATCTTCTTCCTGCTTAAAGGGCTTTAAAAAAAAAAAAACTAGCTGTTAAACTGTATATACTAGACAGTGGGAGGCTGTGAGAGGAAACACAGATAAGGAAGGAGTGACTGCTTCGAGTTCCTCTTGCTAAACTCGAGGAGTTACCCTGAACATAGATACTCCTAGGCCTCTAACTGATTTAAGAGAGTTTCTATCTCTCTTCACCATTCGTTTTCAGTTGTAGAAAGTCTAGATATGAAGACAGTTTTACAGTTCACTTTCACTGAATATTTTGATCCAGTCTCTTGAAGATTATTTGAATCCATCCTTGGGCTTAGGACTCTGTAGTCACAACAATTCGGATATTAATTATTAACCTTGTAAATTCCTATCAGAGGGAATAAAACATCAAAGTCAAAAATGTTTTCACAAGTGAGAAACTAGGACCATGAAACATTCCTTTTTCAATTATAGTTGTTTTTTTTGTTTGCATTTAGAGGGAGTACTCACAGGGGGAGATCAAGAGCTTTTGTTTCAGAAACCAGTAGAGTAGAGAATACTAGGAAAGAGAAACTTTGTGGCAGCTTACAGCCATAGAAACCATCCAAAGAATAATATAGAATGAGACTGAGTGTTTCCATCTCTGTTTATAAGAGCATTACTATTTAATAATTTAGTTATCTTGATTTATACTGTGTCTGGCATTTTAATATCAGAAGTATCTTTTTCTCTTTTGGCTAATCTATATATTCTATAATATGTAAATATAGTTACAACATAAAAGTCAGTGAACTTGTGTAGATCTGCGAACATCCAAAATAAAACCTATTTCCCTGAAAGCTAGGTGTACTTATATAGAACATTTGAGGATTGTCTCTAAAAGTGTTCACTTTTGAACAACTTTCTAGGATTAAATTAAGATGGATGGATTTTAATTCATTTTTGTCATGCTCTAAACTGTCAACTTCCCAAATAAAGAATCAGCTCTAATACCTAGTTAATGAGTATATCAGTGAAGAGGAGAGTATTAGTCTCTCAAGGATTTTTTTTTTAAATGGTTTTGAGCCATACTCCATACTAGAAAGGACATTTGTCATTTACAAGCGTAAGTGGATTATTAATCTAGTGCTTAAAATTGTTTTCAAAAAATAGATTATTATAGGGGATCCCTGGGTGGCACAGCAGTTTGGCGCCTGCCTTTGGCCCAGGGCACGATCCTGGAGACCCGGGATCGAATCCCACATCGGGCTCCCGGTGCATGGAGCCCGCTTCTCCCTCTGCCTATGTCTCTGCCTCTCTCTCTCTCTCTCTCTCTCTCTCTCTCTCTCTCTATCATAAATAAATAAAATTTAAAAAAATAAAATAAAATAAAAAATAGATTATTATAGGGACGCCTGGCTGGCTCAATTGGTAGAACATGTGACTCTTGATCTCAGGGTTGCAAGTTTGAGCCCTGTGGTGGGCTTAGAGCTTACCTTAAACAAAATACATACATATAATATATATGTATGCACACACACACACATACACATATATATGTACACTTACAAAAACATCTTCCAGACACTGAGCAGGGTCCAACTAATAAATAGAAATGGTTTATACTTCACCTTAGTATGTCACTGAGATAATTATGCTGAAACTCTGTTTGGTTCAAGCTTTTTATCTAGAGAAGTTCTTTGTTCCCAGTGGCAGCTGTATTCTACATGACAACATTCTAGGTACTATTGGGGAATAGAAGAAAAATAGGAGTACAGTCCCTCTCTGAACTAGATAGAGACTCAAAATATCAAAGGAAGCTGATTCCTATACTATGCCAAAAGGGAAGTGTGGGGCTTCACAGGAGGAGATTTAGGAAGCAAAAAGGAGGTAGAGGGTCATTTCCTGTTCTGCTTTGGCTTGTTTCTTGTTGGCAGGAAGGGTCTTGGCAGTATGAACCTTTCTCTGGCGCATCATTGTGTGTGGTGGTGTCTCTTAGGCTGCCTGGGACTCCGGGGAAGTTGGAGCAACAGAAATGGTGGGGGGCACTTCTTGATTCTGACGTTCTCACTCTGAATCCCAGATACAACAGAGACATGAGAGGTGGTGAGATTTAGATTGTATTTTAAAGGAATAACCAAACAGATTTGCTGATGATCTGTGTTGGGGGAAAAAGAGGAGTCAGGGGTGACTACCAAGTTTTTGATTGTCATGTCGGGATTGGGGGAAGAAGAGGAAGTGAGGAAATGTTTGAAAACAGTAATGTCTAGGTCAGTGGTTGAGCGTCTGCCTTTGGCTCAGGTTGTGATCTGGGGGTCCTGGAATGGAGCCTCACATTAGGCTCCTCTCGGGGAGCCTGCTTTTCCCTCTGCCTGTGTCTCTGCTTCTCTCCATGTATCGCTCGTGAATGAATGAATGAATGAATAAATAAATAAATAAATAAATAAATAAATAAATAATAAATCTTTAAAAAGACACACACACACAACAACAAGGTCTAGACCATATGTCCAAACTGCTGGTTCGTCATAACCACATTATCTGGAAGTGACATCATTGTCTTGTTTCAGACCTTTACCAGACAAAACAATACTATCTACACTTCATCCTTGTCACTACTTTATAAATTCCCGAGGGCTGACACTGTAGCACACATCTTGGCCTAGTGGTTACACAGTGAGTTCTAAAGTCAGCCTGCCTATACTGCATAATGTGGCTGTCATGTTTAAAAGGGACATGCAGAGGGTGTACAGTGATTGAGATTGTTAACGTTAACTGTTATTACTGTTTCTTACCAATTCTCTGTACTGCTAAGCAGTTCCCTCTTCTCATGGAAGTAGACAAACTAAAAAGCAAACAAAACATTTTAGCAGTCCAGTCTTAATAGGATATATTGCTAACAGGAGTCACCCCATCAGCCTCATAGTATCTCTTGGAAATGCTCCACCTTCCTGGTTTCAGGTCATTCACTGCAGTACTTCAAGGTAATCAGGATGACCCATTGATTATCTGATAAATGCTGCCAGGGTGCCATAACATGCTTCTGATGAGTTATGTATACATGATCCTCCCTACCCCACTCCTGCACCAAACCTGAAAGACGATACATTTTTTTGTTTTTAAAGAACAGAGAAAAATATTGCCGAGCTTAAAACATGAAGGGGGAAGTCTTGGTAGATCTGAAACTAAGAAATCCCTGAGAAAAAGGAAACATGCATGATCAAATTGAAGAATAAAACTGTAGCCTAGGAT